ATCATTCTAAATTATATAATAGAAATCATCCTCTATCGCAATCTAAATCTCACACTGTAAAAAGAAAGGTACTAATTTAGTACCAATTTTGGTACTAAATCGTCATTTGGTTCTATTTTAATACCGAAAACAGCTCTAATTTAGAACCTTTTATTTACAGTGCAACTTAGAAATGACCGGTCACGCGATCAGGGTTCAAAAAGTAAGAAATTTTGCTATCTTCATTATAAATATGATGACAAGACTCATAGGTGCCTCTACCTCGAGGCAATCGGTGCTGCGCAAAAGTCAAAACGGCTCTTTATTTTCGATTACAAATCCGGTTTTAATTTCCTGGTGGGTACAGGATCAGATTTATCCTTGCTTCCTGTCGAAGCCAAGACCAAACAATGTTCAGCCAAATTTGTCATTTATGCTGCGAATAACTCACAAATAAATACTTTCGGCGAACGACGTCTTTGTCTTGGTCTTCGTCGTTCCATCTCGTGGAATTTCTGCATTGCAGGCATACCTTATCCGATAATTGGGGCCGATCTGCTATCAAATTTTGGATTTACCGTAGATCTTCGAAACCGGAGGATCGTTGATCCTCTAAAGGATTGTCAAACCATCGGTAAAGTTAGAAACGTTTCTTTTTTGAGCATTAGTTCAGTTGAAAGGTCGTCGCCTTTTTCGAAAAAATTATCTGATTTTCCAAAAAACACTGGATTGCCTCAAGTTTCTGAGATACTTCCTAGTGAAGTCGCTCACAATATTTTGACTACTAGTCCGCCTGTTGCCAAACGTGCCCAAAAAGTAGCTCCTGATAAATTGGCTATCGCGAAATCCTGGTTGCAGAACATGGAAAAATCCAGTCGTTGTCGTTCTTTTTTTGCAGCTTGGTCTTCACCTTTTTACATGACCCTAAAAAAATGGAGAATGGAGATGCTATGGGGATTATCGCAGAGTCAATGCCTGTACCATTCCTGACAAATATCCTATTCCATATTTACAAGATTTTTCAAACATGCTCCTTGGTAAGACCATATTTTCCAAACAAGACCTTTTCATGGTCTATAACCAAATTCCTATTGCTGTTGATGATGTTCTTAAGACCACAGATATAACGCCATTTGGCCTTTACAAATTTACCGTCATGACCTTTGGGTTGAGAAATGATGGCTCAACATTCCAACGCTTCGTTAATCAGATTGTTAGGTATCTCGATTTTATTTTTGACGATATTTTGATTGCTTTGTCTTCACTCGAAGAACATGTAAATCACTTGAGAATTGTTTTCGAGCGTCTCTCTAATGCTTCGCTTCGCCTGAATGTAGACAAATGTCAGTTCGGTCTCTCAGAAATTGAATTTTTGAGTCATATTATCGATAAGAATTAGATCTACTCTCCACAAAGTTAGAGCAATTAGCGAGTTTCTTAGACCCAAGACAATTATTGAACTCAGACGATTTTTAGGGTTGTTAAATTTTTATAGTCGTTCGAGCATTGTTGACGCAACTCCTCTCATCCATCAGGTTTGTAAACCCCCCACTAGAGTAGTCTTTGATGCTTCTGACTTCGGTATGGAAGCCGTTCTGGAACAATTTAGGAAGGGTTGTTGGCAACCTCTAGCATCTTTTTCTCATAATTTTAACTCGGATCAGGAAAAGCTACAGCACCTACGATAGGGAACTGACTGCAGCCTTTGAAGCAATTAAGTATTTTAAACACTTTTTTGAATTTCAAAAATTTTTCGTCGCCACTGACCATAATCATCTAATTTCCGCCTTTAAAAAATATCTGATAAATTTTCTTCTCGTCAGATTCGACAATTATCTTTTATATCTCAGTATACAACCGACTTTCGATACTTACCTGGGGGTAAAAACACTGTCGCTAATAGTCTCTCTCGCTTCCATACCATTCGATTGGCTACCGACATTAGCTTTGTCGAATTAGCAATCGCTCAAAAAGATGACAACGAAATAAAAACTTTTTTAGAAAATAGATCAACTTCTCTCAATCTTAGTCGCATGCATTGGAGTTCTGATCAAACCGCCATTGTTTGTAATCTTTTCAGAGAAATAATTCGTCCATATATTCCATTGTCTTTGCGTAGGCGTGTTTTTGAGATGTTCCACAATCCTGCTCATCCAAGCGGAAAATTCAGCGACAGTGATTCGTAAGAGTTACGTCTGGGAAGGAATGAATAAAGATATTAAGGAATGGTTTAGGAGTTGCATAGAATGTCAGAGGTCGAAAGTTTCTCGTCATATGTTTTTGCAGCCTTCGCATTTTGCAGCTCCGGATGGAAGATTTCGCCATGTCCATATGGATATTGTTGGTCCATTGTCAAATTGTGATGGGTATACATACTGTTTGACCCTGATTGACCGTTTCTCTCGGTGGCCAGAGGCTATCTCTCTAAAGAATGTCGAAGCAACGACGGTATACCGTGTCTTCGTCGATGGCTGGATATCACGCTATGGTATCCCCGACACTCTTACAACCGATCAGGGAAGCCAGTTCAAGTCCCGAATTTTTCATCACTTCTCATATTGGCTGGATGTCATCGAATAAGGACAACTGCATATCATCCTGCTTCCAATGGTATGGTCGAACATGGGCTCCGTACATTGAAGGCAGCGATTGAGAGTCATACTGGTCAGCAGTAGATTAACGTTTTGTCGACGGTTCTTCTCGGTTTGACGAGAAGGGTTCTTGACTCTGGTTTGTCTCCTGCAGAGTATTTGTACGGGACAACCCTTAAAATTCCTGGGGAGTTTATTCTCCCTGAAGAGTTTGTTCCAGACCCTCAGATTTTTTAGAGGAGTTTCGCGAGCACATGCGATCTAACAATCCCGTCCCTGTCGATCATAGACACAGGAGAAAAATTTTTGTCCACAAGGACTTACATTCCTGTTAACACGTTTTTCTAATGATTGGAACTATCAAGAAATCCCTTGAGTGCCCATACTCTGTCCCTCACCTAAGTCCAATTTATGAAAAAACGACAACAATACATTCTTTACACAGTTTCATAATAAATAACTTTTTATTTCTTATCATCAGTAGATGTTTTACCCAGTGGGCACACTTGTTCAAAAGACGTCCTAAGGATGTCTTTTTGCGAACGTCTTTTGGACTTGTACAAAAGACGTCTTTAAGAAGTCTTAAAGACGTCCTATAAATGTTCTATGTATTGGCAATTAGATGTATTTAAGATGTCTAAAAGACGTCTTTTTCATTCAACTTTTAAAAATAGAAAAATTGTCATAAATAGGAAATATTATTTTCTAAGTTCAACTTGGGCTTAGAAATTCATGAATGTAAAATTCATTGAAATTTTTCTAAGTTAAATTCATTTCATTGACAAGTGAGATCATTAACTTTGTAGAGGTTCATATCTGTCTTGAACGGCTGAGGTGCTTAAGACGCAGTGCTTCAAGCCCAAGGTATCCGAGTTCGATCCCAGCTTCGTAGGAATTTTTTTCATTATTTCTCCACATTTTAGAAAAAATAAAATTAAGCTTAAAATAAATTTAATACTATATTACTGTGTTTTAACTTAGAAAATGTTATAAAAGAAATGTCTATTTAAGATCTGAAAGAATATAAAATGGACGTCCAAAAGATGTCTTACTAAAAATGTCTGTACTTCAAACGTCTTTTGGACCAGACATAAAACGTCTTTTAATTGTCTTTTTTATGACTCAGAGACATTACCATCATTGTCCCCGAATTGTCCGTGGACAAAAAGGGACAGATGTCCCTGTGCCCACTGGGATACTCATAAAAAAATGCACAATTGAGAAAAAACTAAAAATATCTAACCCTAAGTATAGTTTATGAAAAAAATAACAATTACTTGTTTAACCATTTAACAAATAAATAATTAGTTTTTTATCATTAGATGTTTTACTCATGACAAATTGCACAATTAAGAAAAATTAGAAATTTCTAGCCCTAAGTACAATTTAAGGAAAAGATAACAATAACAATAAATTGTTTAAACAATCTAATAAATTGTTATACTTTTTTTATACATCAGAAATACTCAAATATTATCTTAATAGGTTTTTTGATTAATTTTCTTAATCAATGAAGCTAAAAAATATATATTTTACGATTTTATGATTTTTTTAATACTTATTGTTATTAAAAAAATGTTTAAAAACAAAATTTAAAAAATCGGACTGGAGAGATCGATAGAGAATTTAATTAAGAAGATTTAGAAAGAAAGAAAAATCGTTTTGGACAAAAATTGTTACCTGTAGAGTGATTTGGAACGAAACTTACACCACCAAAAGCGAATACATGCACGAGTCCCGGCACACCATAATTAAATTTACAGGAAGTATTCTTTACTTTATAGACAATAACTACAAAAAAAATTTTTTAAATCGAAAAGGTAGTTTTTTCAAAATTTGGTAAGCTCTTATAAAAAACATTTAACAATAGGGTAGAAGCACCAGTTTTAGACACTTTAACGCCAGTTTTGGACACTAGTTAATATTCATTGTAATTATTTATATTTAAGTTTAATTAAGTATTTTACTTAAGGAAATACTTAAAATTTTGTAAAAATTACCAAAACTGGAGCAGTGGCCAAAAGTGGTATAAATCTGAAAAAATCGTACTTAAACTTTAACTGCGTTTTTCTCAAAATGATGTAATTCTGAGTAAACGGATTGATGTTTCTGTCTAATTCTTTTTGAATATTGTTTAAAAATATGTTCTTTAGTGGGTATACATAAAAAATTGAAAAATTAATATATTACGACACTAGTTAAAAAGGCTTTTTAACTTTTATAATAAAATAAGCGAAAAAAAATGTTGAATTTTGACATATTTGGCACACTTCTTATGAGCGACATCCCCTTAATTATTTGAAAAAGTTGATAATTAAATAAAATAATATATTGTAATTATTTAATAATTAATTAATAATAATATTTTGTAATTTTAAAAAAAGTGGAAATTCTTTATGTATAAAATGGAAGATAAATTATTTTAGGGAATATTCTTAAACATTTTATTAAAGAGAGTGGCTACAAAATCGAACTGACACTCAAATCACCAAATACACTTAGTCATGAATCGCTAAGATATTTAAATATAATTAAAAATTAATATTTACATTATTATTTCGATCGATAAAAGTGTAGATTACATTCTTAAAGAATCTCGAGATCACAGTGTCGAATTTCTGGATGATTTTTCTGTAAAAAACATCAATAGATATCAACCAAGTTACAAAGATTTGTCTGAAAACAACTGTAATATAACAGTGATCTTACTGATGTATCAATATGTCCAAGGTACGGTAATATTACATGTAACATTTTACTTAATATTAAATGCAATATTAACGTAATGTTACATGTAATATTACTTCTTGAACTGAGTACAGTGAGTTCTCGCTAGTTGTTTAATTCTCGAAAATTTTCAAGATCATAAATCTCACGAGTCGTTCAATGCATAAACGCCTCTAGGTCAATTTCAGGAATGTGCTATTAAATATTTTCAATGACTTTGATTCGTTCAAATTGTACATCACTGAATATTAGCGTGCGCATACTAAAACTTGAACAACTCGTGAGTTAAACGACTCGCAAGAACTCAATGCGGATGTTTTCGGCGTGCTCACGGATTATGATTTGGATCACTCAATGGTGCTCACTTTAATTTTTAAATTTGGTGTCTGTTATAATTTGAATAATATGTTGAAATTGGTTACTTTGCTAAGCTCTTAATTTTCATTTGTTCAAAATTATGATTTGTGACAATTCATGAAATATCCTTTAGGTTCTAGAAATATTTTGGGATAATCCAACCTACAGTTTGGAAATTTTTTAAAAATTCCCCAATAGAATATTACTAGATAAACCAGAGTGTACTCTGACTTTGAAAGCAGATTATAACCTGGTTTATCTGGTAACATTCTATTGGGGAATTTTTAAAAAATTTCCAAACTGTAGGTTGGATTATCCCAAAATATTTCTAGAACCTAAAGGATAGGGTAAGTGTACTAATTCCTGCGGTATTTTGGTCAAGACGTCTTTTAACTATAAAATATAATTTTTATATTGATCAAATTGAACTTATGTCTTATTAAATTTGTAGTTTGTGTTATTAAGATATGTTTACAATAAATAACATCTCTAAAATATAATTTATTTTAATAAATTTAATGAATTAAAAATAATATTCAATGCGTTTAATTCTGCGCGTTTGAGTCAGTTGCTGCGCATCAGTTGCTGCGCGAATTTAATTCCTGTGGGTCAGTTTCTGCGCATAATTTCGTGTTTATGTGTATAATACCGCAAACTACTATGAAATCAAAATGGGACAATGATTTTAATCAATGTTTAATTGAATAGAATATAAATTTATTAAAAATAAATATATATCATATATTAACAAAAGTAACAAATAATTTCTGAATTATCACATTTTTGAAACATTTAGTTAAAACTTAATAACAGAATTCTTCCTTAATTAATTTATGTATATTTATTAAATTTTATTTAGTTTTTCCTCCATAATCTTCATTTTTTCTTTCATTTTCATAATTTTTTCTTGCTCTTTTTCAAAATAGATAATCTATTGTAACCAGTCTTAGTTGATTTTCTGAGGGCGCAGAAATTAAATCAAGCCCAAATTCTGTGTTAATTACTACTCTTAAAAATAAAATATAATAACAGACAAAAATAAAGTAAAGTTTAATTTTTCTTTTAAAACAAGGTTTTCTTTATCTAAAATCATCATAATAATAACCACTTTAAGTCTAAAAACAATAATAAAGCCTTTTTTATGTAGGTATTTTTGCACCGCCAGCAAAGTTAGCAATGAAAATAAATAAAACCTTGAACACGTCAACTTTTAATTAAAATAAAATACATAAATATTAAGTTTTGGTATATACTTCCTATATCTATTTTAAAACTTACATCGTTAAGTAATTTTTAAAAAAAATTTCAAAATTATTTGTGCCCTGAACAAATGTATTCACTTAAATTATTAAAATGCCGCAGAAACTGAAGCACCCGCAGCAATTGACGCACTTACCCTATTTCATGAATTGTCACAAATCATAATTTTGAACAAATGAAAATTCAGAGCTTACCAAAGTAACCAATTTCAACATATTATTCAAATTATAACAGTTACCAAATTTAAAAATTAAAGTGAGCACCATTGAAGTAGTTTGGGACATAATCTGTGCATCGACTGAAAACACCCATAATATTACCTTAACCCATTAACACCCAAATGTACAATTTTTTGTCACAAGGTTTGACACTATAGTTTAACATAAAAACTCTACAGAAGAAATTCCGCAATAGTAATTTCTTATTGGCCAAAAACCGCTCTTTCGAATGGCGTTCCAAAAAATTTTATAAATTTATAAATAAACAAATTACATATGTTTTTAAAAAAACATAAAAATTTTAGTTTTTTTTTAATTTTTCTAATTTTAGTACGGGTATTCGTATTGGAACACATCTAAAAGTCCTAAATATCGCGTCAAAAATATATTCCCTATCAGATAGGGGTATTCCAAAAAAAAAAATTCAAAATGTCGGACACAAAATGGCATCTAAAATGAATTTTTATTTACAATATGTAGCCATGTGAACAAAATCGCAAAACTTGAGAGATTTCTATGAAATTTGACAGCTAAGTGTTTTTGATGTTCTTGATCACGAAAACAAAGTCAGAGTTTAAAAATTCAAAATGGCGGATGCAACATGTCGGACGAAAGTTTTTGAAAATCTGTGAATTTGCTTGAAATTTCTTACTCGGGGATTTTCAGGGGCGCTGATTACGAATCCAAAGTCGGAATTAGAAAATTCGAAATGGCGTATCCAATATGTCGGATAAAATTTAATATGGAGAATAAAATTGTTAAAAACTAATTGGATTCACTAGAAAATCGTTACTTGGGGGTTTTCAGGGTCGCTGATTACGAATCTTAGACCTATTTTATAAAATTCAAAATGAAGGATTCAATATCGCGGATGGCTTTTCAATAAATGGATTAGATTTGCCTGAAACTCGTTACTCAGGGGTTTATAGGGTCGCTGATTACAAATCGGGACCAATTTTTATAAATAGTTTACACCTTTATGATAAAAATGTAAAATTAAAAAAAAATTTGCCATATTGAATCCGCCATTTTGAATATTAAAATTTAAATACAGATTTGTAAGCAGTTACCACAAAAACCCCCAGAGAGACTAATTTTTACTTAAATTGCCTTACCTGGTCAAAAGTAATGTTATTTACAATACATTTATGGAACAGCGTATGTCCCATTGGACATTAAAGGTTAAAGTATATATGGGCAATTCCACGTGAGATTTCAGTCGACCTCTTAAAATCGGCCAAAAATATTTTTTTTCTATTCTGTATTGAAAAAAAACAGATACGTATTTTTTTATTATTTTTTTGGAGGCCAAATTTTTGAGTTATGAATTTTCAAAATTTTCGCTTTTTAAATGTAGGTATATTTTTAATGTCAGATAACTAAAAAAATATTGCTTCTTTTTATTTTTTGACAAGAGAAAAAAGTTTTGTTTTTCTCTCTACTTTTGAATAATCATAACAACAAATTTTTTTTTTCATTTTTTATAAAAAAAATAAAAAAATTTTATAAACAAATTAATTTTTTTTAACTTTGGGTATGATAAATTTTTAATTTTCTTTTTTTAAAACATACCTGGAAATGATAAGAAGGTTTTGCAAAAAGTTTCAGAGTGGGCCTGACAAGTTTGATGGATCCAAAAAAATAATTAAGCTGTCCATGCAGGTCGCACGCTCGTGGCACAATGGGATTTTTTTACAATTTGTTATACTCACTTACCTCTGCTTGAGATGTTTATGTTTGCAAACAATACCTGCAAAGGTAAAAGCGAAACACATAAACATCCTAAGCTGAGGCGTGAAAACATTTAGTGAGGCCTAAACCTCTATTGTCCCAAATGGTGACAGCGCTGTGGGAAAAACCCAAAAGCGTCTGGCGCGCGGACCGGAAAAACCCATGACGTCAGCTGCACGGTTACACTCACAGATTTCGTTAAAATTACTTTATCTTTTTTTTTCTCATTATTTTATTTACTTATGATTTTGTCATAATATTATTATTATTATTGTATTAGCGTTACGATTATTAATATTATTATTACTATTCTTAATATCACTAATATCATTCATAATATTATTATTTTCTTTTATCATTAGCACTACTTTTAATGTTAATATTCCTAGCATTATCAATATTATCATTATTTGTATTAATAATATTATGATTCTTAATATTATGATTCTTAATATTGTTAATATTATTCATATTGTTATTACTATTATTGATACTATTTTTATATTAATCTTCATAGTATTATTAATATTATTTCTATTCTTAATATTGCTAATATTATCCGCATTATTATTATAATATTGTAATTATTATTAAAAGAAATGTATCGGAGCATGGTATAAGACTGATTGGTATTGGCAAGAAAACATTACGTGTAGAGAGAGCATCTCAGCACGTCTTACTCGCTCCTCCGCTCTCGCTCGACTAACTCTCGCTCCACCGCACCGCGCCTGCGCGCGCCCGAGTGGGGGTATCTCGAGCGCTAATTGGCTCCCGCCTGGTGGGAAAGGGAAACCACGGATGCGACTCGGCAGAGGCGCATAAATACCGCTCGTTTTCCCTGCCTCGCTCTCAGAACTCTCCTGGACTCCGACGTACCAAGATCTCTCGACTCGACCATCGCTGCACCAAGGGTTCGCCGGAGCGAACCTCGCCGCCTACCAGTCGAAATACCGTGCTCCTCGCAAGCTGCCAATAAAGGACTTATACGGAGCCGCTGTCTTTTACTCTCCTGCTGGAGTACATCCTCGTGTCAACAACCGGCCCTTTTCAGGGCCCACTTAACAATCCGTCCTTCTCAGGACGAAAGAATATTTGCGTTCAAAACAGATTAACCCGTCCTTCTCAGGACGATAAAGAATACTTTTGTTCTCGACAAACTGCCCTTTTCAGGGCAACTTCAAGAGGAATTTTCCAACCCAGGACCAGAAGACACCAAGAAGGACGTCATCTCCCGGAGGCCGAGGACCACCACCCAGAAGCCGCTTGCCGACGCCGCGGCTACATCCGCCTACATCGCCATAAGGAAGTTTGGGTTCGCCGCCCATACAGGTGCAGCTT